GCTGAACCGCTCTTCCGATCTACACACACACACACACACACACACACACAAACATGGTTTTCGGTCCGCCCCGCCGAGACACACGGGTTATTCGCTGCAGACAACAAGGCTGCATATTTCAGACTGGAGCTTTAGTAGGATTGCGATAACGGCCTGACAGAGGATTCACATAATCCGGACAGAAAAATCTCCCGCCTTTTCTGGCACCTCAGCGTGACAGTAAACAAGTCGTATCAATAAAGTGTCATAAAGATGACGTATGCAGTGAAGAGCGAAAATAAATCGGCAGATTATGTATCCGAACGAGGGAGACTAATGGAAAGCGTAGTCTACCAATCCACTACGAAAGTGCCAAAGCCTAACAGCACTGGCTAAACGTAGCTACTGCCCCTGGACAGGCCCGACGCAGTACAGGCTCAAAGAGTCGACCGGCACAGGACAGTGGAGAGTGAGGTCAACGCCAGTGCATCCGTCTCTATGATAAATCGGCGGAATTCTTGCTATAATAAATTCGGCACGAAGTACAGGCGATCGTTGTAACAAGAACCTTATACACCTGACGTTTCGGATTCCAGCTCGAACCCATCTGCAGAGACAGTATCAGCTACGGGCAATTCATACACACGGAATTGCAATATTTATAGGACACAGTCGCTATGCTGGTTTGCTTGACACGGCTGTGATCATGCCTGACCTTGCCGGTCTCAATGATACCACGGACGGTAACTCTCCATGTGAGACGATTAGCGGCGACGGATCTGGAAAACTCCACCCATTATCTTCTCCAGCAACGGAGAGACCAAAAGCCGTGTACATATGACAATTAACGGCTCCACCCTTAATTGAAAATGCATGCCTTTAGGTGTGATAACGGCTGACAGTCGCAACCTTAATCGCTGAAATTTCGTCACGTAAGCTGGATGTTGGCGTAATGATTAATTAACCGTCTGTGCCCCCTAAACGGGCCGCACGTTAGAAGCGGTGGACCAACACTGGGGCTAGATCAGGATATGGCAGGCGTTATTCCCATAACAAATGTTGAACATGAGGGGGGGGGCG